AAGAAAGCATTTATTCACGCAGCACACAGTTAAAACTATGGAATTCATTCACACCAGAGGTAGTGATGACCCGTGATGTTTTGAAAGACAACTAGAAAAATTCATGGAGGGTACGGCTATTACTAATGGCAACTGGATAATAGGACTATGGGAACTGCAAATGGGGCTTGCTGGATTCCCTGGGCGTCTGGTTGGCTACTATGAGATCAGGGTGCTGGGCTACAGTAGATGGGTCTTTGGCCTTATCCAGCAGGGCTGATCTTGTGTTGGGATGACAAGTCCCATCAGGCTCAGCCAGAATGGGCAGTGGTCAAGGATGATGGGAGCTGTAGTCCAGCACCATCAAGGGCCACACGCTTGCCACTAGAGTAATTTGTGTCCTGGCACAGATGGCTATGGGATGAAAGCTGCTAGGCAAGGGGCAGGAGCACAGCATGGATCTGAGAAACTGCTCAACACCTACATCTCTAAGGATCCCTCCTTGGAGGATATATGTGCATATATCTGTAGTGAGCAGCTGAGGTTTTCCACCCACCAGCAGTTTCAGCGGAGCAGAGGTGATGCGTGCAGCGCTGACTTGCATTGATTACTGGAGGGAAGAAGGAAGGGAGCAGATTGTGTGTTCTGAGTGTTGCGAGACCTGCTTCGGAGAGCCGCCGAGGCATGCCTCATTTGCTGAGATTGTACAAAAACACCAGAATGCAATCACAGCTAAGATCTCCCCCGGCACAGGTACTGATCGCAGGAGGGATATTAAATGGAGAGCATGATTGCAAGTCACCTCACACAGGCAACCTGTTTCGACTGTCAGCAATGCTGCTGAGAATCCTTGGACCAAGTTTGAGGTGGCTTGTTTGAGTTCCCTCTCTGCTGCTGCAGTTGAAGCCCAGGCCTCCCTCGCCACACCAGAAACAGAGATGGACCAGTGGGGAACCTGTAATAGAAAGGTCGCATCGCCTCCTCACCTCCTCTCAGGGGTGTTCCTCATCAATGTACCTGCTGGCCATGGCTCCCTCCAGGATATTAATTACACAAATTCACTCCTTTTCGTTTTGGTGCTTTCTAAATTAACATCAAAACAAAAATGCAATTAAAGTTACAAAACATAGGAGCGGTACAGAGGTTGGATCGTGCAGATAAATAGAGAGCAGATCACATAGAAAAAGCAAAGCAGAAAATTACATCATGAAAGCCAATTTTTGCAATGGGGTGGAGGAAGAGAGCTTTGAACAGTATATCTGAATTTGACACATAAGAAATGAAATCCAACCAAAAGGCACAGGAGTGTTCCGTGTCTTTCTTACATTTAGAAATGCAAAGTTTGCAAGCCCCTTCCCCCCAATAGTCAGAGTCCACATATTTCTTGTCTGCAACGAGAAGTTTAAGTTCTGTAGCGTCTTGAATTTTGGGGCCAATGCAGCCAGCACAATAAGTTCCTTAAATTGGAAAGTTGCTATTTGCTCACCCCACAAGTTCAAAAGGTCTCAAGTTTTCATTTACAGCAGACACTCAACATTCCACTGGTGACCCCTAAGCATCCCTAGTCCTTCTTCATCCTTGGATTTATTTATTTTTAAGTGTTTGTATTTCTGCAAAGCTGGGTCCCCCCCCCAGCATGCTGATACCCTCTGTTTTGGTACCATATCTTTTGACGCAGTGGTACTGTGGCATCTTCCCTGACAGTACAGCCCTTTGACTATCGAAGAGAATCACAGAAATGCAAGAAGAGAGTTGCTGGTGGAGGAGGAGGATTTTCCTTATTAATCAAGTGCTGTTTCACACTGTTGTAATAAATGGTAGCTACTGCCATGCTAGGCCTGGTCAAAGGGCAGTGTAGACCAGTGTTTCCCCAAAACCTGTGCCTCCCAGCTGTTTTTGAACTACAACTCCTCATCCCTGACTAGCAAGAAGTGGCAAGGGATGATGGAATTGTAGTCCCAAAAACAGCTGTGAGCACAAAGTTGGGAAACACTGGTGTAGACATTGTTAGAAATGGAAATTTAGCCTATACCGCACCCGGCATTCCTGTACAGAAGCTGACTAGACTGGCAGCTGAATCTTATTTCAATACAGGTAACTGCATAACGTTGTCCTCGGCACCTGATGGCGGCAGGCTTAGTTATGAGGGATGCGGGTGGCACTGTGGTCTAAACAACTGAGCCTCTTGGGCTTGACAATCAGAAGGTCGGCAGTTTCAAATCCCCACGACGGGGTGAGCTCCTGTTGCTCTGTCCCAGCTCCTGCCAACCTTGCAGTTCAAAAGCATGCCAGTGCAAGTAGATAAATAGGTACCACTGTGACGTGAAGGTAAACGGTGTTTCTGCGCACTCTGGTTTCTGTCACGGTGTTCTGTTGCACCAGAAACGGTTTAGTCATGCTGGCCACATGACCTGGAAAGCTGTCTGTGGACAAACGCCAGCTCCCTTGACCTGAAAGCGAGATGAGCACTGCAACCCCATAGTCGCCTTTGACTGGACTTAACCCTCCAGGGGTCCTTTACCTTTTTTTACGAGGATGTGGGACAGGAGGTAACATAAAACTAGGGATCCCATGTCGTATTGTGCTGTGCCACTCTGAAGATCCTGAGATCCAATGTGGTGTAGTGGTTAGAGATTTGGACTAGGACCAGAGAGACCAGGGTTCAAATCTCCACTCAGACTTTAAGCTCCCTGGGTGATTTTGTGAATTCACTGGCACTCTGCCTGGTGGTTGTTGTGAGGATAAAACATGGGGAAAGAGAACCAGGAATGCCACCTTGAAGGAAAGGGATATAAATTGTTGCTGGCATCAGTCTGTCTCAAGAGAAAATGGAAGAGTGTGCCATTGCAGGTGAAGTCAAACTGTTGGAATGGCTGTGGAGAATGATACAGGAGAGACATGTTTTAAGGCAGCCAGGGCAGATGAAGGCATCTGGTGGTACTGATGCAGGTGTACGATGATGTTTCTTCTCTCGGTGCTCCTCCTGATGGTCATTCCTCCTCTGGTCACTGCTGTAGTCTGTCTCCCTCCAGATATAAATTAATAATAAACAGGGCAAACACAGAGGGGCATGTGCTGCTTTGGGCAATGTAAACTCCAACCCCAGTGGTACTCATTTGTATGCCTCCTAGACATCAGGCAAGTGCTGAATAGTTTTAGGCACCCACTGAAGACTTATTTCTTTCCTATGGGCATTTGCTGCCATTATTCCCTTGCTTTGAATATTGACATTATCCACTGTGGACATTGTGCATTTTCTGGTTTTATTGTACTGATTCTTAGGGACATTACTTTACATTGCCTTGGGATTTCTAATGCACAATGGGATACAAATGTTCAAACATTGTTCCTTGGTTTGGGAACCTGAGAAAAATAGAAAAGCTGGTTGCAAAGTCCTTTGATAAATGTTCCCGTCTCCACCCACACTTGACTCAGAAATAAATGTCATGGCTCTCTCCCTTGGAGTAGCTGGCAAAAGCCAAAACTCTGAGGGCACGGAGTGTGAGTTTTCCTTTCCATTGTGGGCTTCCCATGGGCATCCCATTGACTGATGTGAGAATAGGACACCGGACTTTGGTCAAATCCAGCAGGACTCTCCTTATGTTCTTAATAAGGCTGTGCTAACTTCCTTTCTCAAGGATGAAGAATTGTTCTCTCTGCTGCGTGTCATGTTTTCCATCAAGAGTTTGGGACACACTTCTCATTTTTCCCCCATTCTGCAGGTGTCAGCGGTTCAGGTTTCTCCTGGTCAGAGAGCAGAATTCATTTCCAAAGAGTCACAGTTGATGGTTTCTGCTGCTCTCAGAGGTCTTATCACTGATCCAAAAAAGTCTAGATTCATTTATGAAGCGCATCCATTATCCTTTTAAGAGAACATGACTCTTTTCTTTCCTGGTCCAGAAGCCACTATGATTCAAATTCTATTTACTCATATTTACCAGTTACCTGAATGTTATCAAAGGATGAATATGCCAGTTTTGGTTTTTCCCCCTCATTTCTCACAAAATCAGAGAACTGGAAGAGACTGAAGGGGCCATCTAGTCCAACCCCCTGAAGAAGAAGAAGAAGAAGAAGAAGAAGAAGAAGAAGAAGAAGAAGAAGAAGAAGAAGAAGAAGAAGAAGAAGAAGAAGATTTTGGACTTGATATCCCACCTTTCACTCCCCTTAAGGAGTCTCAAAGTGGCTAACAATCGCCTTTCCCTTCCTCCCCCACACCAAACACTCTCATGACACCTCTGCTCTCCTGCCTATGAGAGTAGCCTGCTTTACTCTCTCTTGTGAATAAGGCAGAATCTTTGCCTCTGAGTTGCTCATATAGAAGAGAACATTGAACTCTTGGACTCAAATATTAATGAGTACCTAATAAGGTGTGCATTGACCCCAGGATTTACTTTGTGCCTGTATCTTTGCTTATTTTTTAAAAAAATGAATCTGTTTTTGAGTCACCCTGTGCTTTGATCTGTAATTAGTGATCTGCATAAAATAGAACCTTAAAAAGAATGGTTGTGACTAATTTGCAGGCACAGCAGCAGTGATGTCAACTTGCTTAATCAATCATAAGGCATGGCACACACCATTTGAATGGAAATGCGCATCACTTTTTGGGGAGGCAACCCCCTCAAATATTTTATTGGGAGGGGCAAAGGGACCTTGGCCCCTCAGAGTTGGCTCCTATGCACCAGAGTGGATTAATTGGAGATCGAGGGGTTTTTTTGGGGGTGGGGAGTGAAATGGATTCACATTTCTCCATAATCTGCATTAGGGCAATAAATTTATTAGTTTCATATTTTCAAGCGGGGAGTTGTTTTTTTCTTGTCTTGGTCTTTCTGGCTTTAAAATAATTAACAAGTGGCCTTGGAAAGCGGCCTTGATGGATGGATACCTACTTGCCAGGACTGTCTTTTTGTTGTTGTTATTGTACTGTTAGGGAATGCAGGTGGTGGTGGGGACACACAAAAAGCATACACATTAAAGGAAACGTTTCCTAAAAAGCTTGTATTAGCAAAAATCATGTTCAAATGTATGATTAAATAATTGCTTCTTTTATTATTTAGATTGATTAACAATGCATTATAATAGATGAAATTCCTTGCAACATTGTGTATGTTAGGCAAAAATGCCTTCAAATGTGTACGAAATTTCACATGGATTTTTTAAAACCACAGTTGATGTGGCAATGGGGAAAATTGAACTTATTAGTGGGAAAGAACAAGACCCTGAGAGAAATCAGTCGTAACAGGTCCAGCCATCTCTACTTGAAAAGCAGGAAATCTGGAAACAAAACAAAACAATACCACAATATCCAAGAGGTCACACTGGCAGAAAAAATCAATTTGCTTTCTGGAGTTAAAACCTGGTCCCTCAACAGTTCAGCCCAATCCAGTATGCGCAACCCGTATCCTCTCTGCCTCCTTGAGTAATAGCTGCTGTTGAGTGCAAAATGACCCAGAGCAGCCAATTATGCCAAGTTTCTGCCGGGTAAGCAATTATCCAGGAAACAAACACTAATTAATTAAACACTCTCCATAACAGACTTGTCTTCCATCAGGCAAATAATTAACAGGCATGGATCATTTGGTGAGCGGGCTGAACGGCGAGGCCATCCTTGAAAGTCATGCGTGGCAAGCATACCTCTTGGCTCGACAAGGATGCCAGCTGCTGCCTTCCTTCCTTATCCTCTTCATTGATGGTGGTGTGTGTGGAACCGCAGCTGACATATAATGACTCCACTCGTCACCCACCTTTCTGGTAGCAAACCTTTACGTTATCATGGAAGGCAAAGATGTGGAGTGATGTAAAATGAGGGAAGGAGAAGACAAGCTCTCCTCTCTTGTGATGTTGCTCCACCACCCTAGAGAGGCACGCTGGCCCCAGCTACTGAGATGTACCCACCTAACTGTGGAACCATGAGCGATGATTGATGCATTGATTTACTTTATACGTCACCCTTAGTGGTGCTTAAAGCAGCTTACAATGAACAGTCACATAGCAAAATCCAAGGGACAGGGTGGGGGAAGTCGGTTGACCAAACACCAGTCAATTCAAATAGGACAAAGACAAACCATTTAGCAAACATACAATGAACTCACTATCGAGACTTCAATGCATACATTCAGTTGTCCATGCAGGGCAATCTTGGGGATGGTTTGGAAGCTGGAGTGTGTCCTTGCACTCTGATAATTGTCACTTGCTTGCCTCGGTGGGGGACAGAGAGGGATATGTGGATGAGAATAGAAGGAGATCAACTGTACAAAGGAAAGATTTACCTTCATTGCTACACCCACTTTTGCCTCTGACCTCGCCTGCCACTGGGTGGACCAGGGTCAGTGTAAGGTCAGTGCAAGCCCTGCCCCCATTACTCCAGCAGGGGGGTACTGCTGAGTTCCAAGAACCCCCTGGACTGCCTGGATTGGATGGGGTGGGGTGGTGCAGTTCACAGCCCTGATATGTACAGCTACAATCGCATCATCTGGAGAAGGTGGCTGTAAGTCATGGCTTCTATGCTTACATTTGCAAGAACAGCTCTGAGCACAGCTTGCCGTTGTCGCAGCTCCCATCTCAGAAGCTCTTACCTGCAGATAAGTAAGAGATCGTTATTCAGGAAAACCACAGTACAGGCAGCAGTCACAAGGCTCAGAAGTCATGGTTCAGAAGTTCAAGAGCAAGGTAAGACATTCAGGCCTGGGTGGAAGCAATGAAGATGTCCCAACAAGTGGTTCTGCCCCTCCCACCAAAATTTTAAAGGGGAGGTATGGCGTGCTCACTAACGAGACTCGCTCACCTTGCAGGAACATTGCTGTTACAAACATGGGCTCCTTTGGGTTGGGTAAGGAGTGCTCCCATTTGTGAAAGCGGTACCTGATTCGCAGAACCTTCCTGTTCAGGCTCCTATTCAGTCTCTGCTGTTTCCAGCTCTACCTTACCCCCATAGCTGCTCCAAACCCTCCTCCAAGCCGGCGAAGGGGGGCGAGCCGACAAACCTGCTGCCCCTTCCAAAGTGGCTGAAGTTGCAGCAGAAAAGAGCCACCCCACGTCTTCTACCCAGGTTCCCACCATTCACCATCACCCAATATTTTCTACCTCCTGTGTTGGCGCCTGCCAATGCAAAGATGATCCCAACAGCGCTATGGGGCTCGAGACATCCCTTTCCCTTAATTTTATGCAGCTCTTGAAAGCCCTGCAATATAACCCACTAGTTCCAATCAGGAGCAAACAAGGCAAGGCTAAAGAGAACTCTGGTCCCTAATGGGCTTTAATGCTTTGCTGTCATACAAGGGGGCTTTGCAGCCATTACAATGATTTCTTTGCTTTGGAGAAAGGGAGCTTGGCAGCTTGCTTGTTTGCATTTCATCTGGCTTCCCGAAGAACCCAGGAGCAAAGCAAAGCGCTTTACTTGGAACTGGTCACAGATTCCCCTCCATTTAATGTCCCCTCCATTCTCTGCAGAGCGACATCAATGGGATTGTTTCCTGATCAAACCCAATGAATCGTCGGAATTAACCCTGGAGATGTCACACCGTGCTAACTGCACCAGAGACGTTATGGGCCCAATGATCAGGCCCAGACTGGCGCAACGGATCCTATGCTGCTGCAACTAACAAATACAGTGAATGAATAGCTGGATAACAATCAGGGCAAATCTGTCAAATTCATGCTTTCCAAAACAAAATGCGAACTGAACTACAGCTACCTTGAAACTTCACACATACCTAAATTTTGCGATGCAGTTCTCCAATCAAACCATGTTTTTTTTTAAATGCACATAATAGGGGAAAGCATTCATAAAAATGAATGCGTTTGTAAAAGCAACACAGAAAATGCATTATTAGGGGAAATTGCTTGCAAAAATGTGTACACTGGAACCACCAGCATAAAAGATGTGTTAAATAGCAGTTACGCACACCAAAACACAGATCGATTTTCATGATTTTTTTAAAATCACAAACTGATGCAGAAATTTGAAGAACTGAATTTAAGGCTAGAAATAATGAGAAACTGAGAGAAGTGAAATTGACAGATTCTTCCATCCCTAGGCTCAAGTGAAGCCTGTAGCTGAGCTGACTGGCATAGCATTCTCACCTGACTTCTGTTTCCACTTTGCTGATTTATTTCACAGGCTTTGAATGGTGTCAGCAGTTCCAGCCTTTGCCTCCTCTCTGCTCTGGACCTCATTAGAGAAGGAGACATTAAAAATACATGCTCTGCTTAAGACCAGGAGCAACAAGAAGAGTGTCAGGCGGGGAGGGGAAGGGAGGCAAGAGAGGGCCTTTGGTGGAAAGGCTGAGCACATCATTCCACGTGACTGTGCTGTTAAGCTATTGTTTGTCTAGGCTCAGGCATATGAAAGTGAGCAAGAGGATCCCCCGTCTTGCTCTGCTGCTTGTAAGGTTGCTTCGCTTCTCGATTAGCTTGCTGCAGGTGTGCATGAGCATAGCTCAGAGCCCCATCCATGAATTTCCTTTTGTACTTCTTGGGAATCCAGCTGATCAACACAAAACAAAAAAAGGCCTTTGAGCAGAGCAGAGATGGAAATGGCAGAGGAGAGGGAGCCGAAGCACGGAGCACCTTCGCAAACAGCCAAAAAGAGAATAATTTATTATTGCGTGGCCAGCCCTTTTTTGAGATCAAACTATATGCGAAGCCCTGTGCAAACGGATCGCGGCTGATGTTGCTGGCACTTGATGTTGCTTTTCTTTCTGGCTCCATCCATTCTAACACTTCAGGTGGTAAGCTAAACCCCTGCTGCCTTAGTTTAAATTGTAAGCTCCATGGGGCAGAGACTTTTGCTTTGGTATGCAATGTTTCATGTACTGGGGACATAGTGAGTTTCCTTATACTGAGTCAGAGCCGTAGGGATGCGCCAGGAGAAGATATATGCATTGGATTTTATCCTTCCTTCCTCATGTTTGTGAGTTCAGCAGAGTGCCATCCCTTTGCAGCTTAAAAGGGAAGCTTAGATAGGCTAGTTTTAGCCTTTTGGTTTAAGTAATCCAAGGTGCTTTAAGGCAGACTGGATTTTCCTTTTCTCCCCCTTTAGAACAACAATCACACAAACAGTCATTGTAAAAGGTGAAAATAACATTGACTCACCCAGAGTTTCTGTTGCAGAAGGACAGATGCAGCATCTTTCTTCAGGCAGGTTAAAATGGTAATTCGGTTACACAGACATATTTTAGTCTAACTTGAAATGGAGTCTGAGCTTGGCAGTTGTTCTCACCTTTCTGGCTTGGTGATGAGATGAAGAGGTAACAGTGAAGAGAGGCAAAATAGGATGTACTCGGGCAGGTAAGAAGACTTTATATGACTAGACCCTCCCCTAGGCAGAGCACAGTGGGAGTGCCTCACAGAGGTCTCTCTAGCAAGCTTACAGGAAAACTCTGTGAGCTCCAGCTCCTATCATGTGCTTATCTAGCAAGGCAATGAATTGTTGGTTTGACTGCCCTTTGACTATCCCCCACAAGCATTGGCCTCTCTAGCCCTGTATTGTCTACACTGACTGTCAGCTGCTCCCCAGGGCTCCAGACCGAAGACATTCCCAACCCTACCTGGAGATACGAAGGACTGAACCTGAGACCTTCTACACAGAAAGCAGGTGCTCCATCCCTGAGCTATGGCCCTTCCTCTAATTCCAGATAAACAAGGGTTGGTTTTGGTTGGTTTAAGCACAATTCTATGGATTCTGTTCATGCTCCTCATTGTTATTCACATATTCCAGGTGACTGGGCGTCTTCCAAGGCCATCACCCTGGTCACCATGGGACACAGCACTGAAAGAGGGAGAGAAACCACAGCAGGAACAGCTTGCTCTGCCTTCCTGTTTCACTCTCATTTCACCCACCACACACACACACACACCCCTCCATTTTGTGCCAGACCCCTGGATTTTGAAGAGACAGGCATGTCATTCTCCGGCCACAGGGGTGCATCACCTTCCAAGCTTAGGACACTCGAGAGAGACCTCCAGCCATTTCCCAGCCATTAGTTGTCATTAAGTAAACTGCCTACCCCCTTTTCTGAGTCATTAACATGCCGTCTGCCTGGCAAAAGGAATAGACAGTCATTTGTAGGGAAGGAGGAGCAATTTGGAGTTCAGCTTTGAAAGCAGACTCTGCTGATTTATGCGTTCTGGGCTAATGTGCAGGTTGGATGTGGGTCTGCATGGAAGAAGAGGAAGAAGAGTTTGGATTTGATATCCCGCTTTATCACTACCCGAAGGAGTCTCAAAGCGGCTAACATTCTCCTTTCCCTTCCTCCCCCACAACAAACACTCTGTGAGGTGAGGGGGCCCGAGAGACTTCAAAGAAGTGTGACTAGCCCAAGGTCACCCAGCAGCTGCATGTGGAGGAGCGGGGACGCGAACCCGGTTCCCCATGTTACGAGACTACCGCTCTTAACCACTACACCACACTGGCATGGAATCCACACTGCAGGGAGAGTCCAAAACAAGGTAGCCCAAGGGCTTGCCCTTCCTTCCTTCCTTCCTTCCTTCCTTCCTTCCGAAGTAGCTGCCTTGGATGGCTAGCATGCAAAACTCCTGCCATGCAGGTTGAAAATTGCAGGGAGATTGGGGAAGAGAGAAGGTGACTGTTCCCAGGGGTCTGTATTCCCTTCCATACAACCCTCCAGAGAGTGGAAGGACATCATTGTGTCCCTATGGTCCCGGGGGAATTGGAGATGGGCTTCCAACTCAATGCAGAAGGAACCATGTGTGCCAGCCACTGTGGTCATCTAATACCAGTAACAAGAAGGAATCAGTGCTGAAACCACCTTGTAAGCATTTCAATTAAAAATGACAACTACTACATTTTCCTTTCAAAAAAATCCTCCTGGAAATGAGATGCAATAGACATTGGGTGGCTCTAGACGTTCTGTTTATTGTGCTTGAGTAATATTTGTGCTCATGATGCTATCAGGGCATCCATACACCATACGCCAATTGCCCCCGTTTCCTTGGATGCATGCTGTCAGAGCTGCCCCAGGTCCCAGCTCACAGAGGACCAACGCCAGTCTGTTGCTATATTAAATAGTCTTTATTGAAGTTCAGTTTCTCATTTACAGCCACGGCGCGCAGCTCTACGTCTTAAACCCTAGACCGCCGAAGCTCCGTCTGAGTCTCCTCCCCCCAGACACCAGTTTAAGACCCTAGCCTTGCTCCACCTCTTTCTCTGCTCCCTCTTCCTCTGGGTCCGCCTGTCCGCCGGGGTTTTCCCCTTTCTAGACTCTTCTGACGCTGACTCCCCCGAGTCTTCCCCCTCCCTCCGGCGGGCTTTAGGACCTGGTTCCCAATCCAGGCTTTCTGCTGTCCCGCGCGCCTGTACATTTGAACTTGGCGCGCGCGCCCAGCCTGCCACCTTCCTTCTGACCGTTATACTGCTTCCTGTCGCTGCTTGCCGGAGGAGACGCTGACTCTGACCTATGGGGCTCTTCCCCCCCCCCACTACGCTCTGGTGGGGAAGCTGGCCCTGATTTCCAGCTACTGCTTTGGGAGTCTCCGCTGGCCCCCTGCTTCTGGTGTGTCCCCCCTGGGACCCCCCTTGCCCTGGCCATCGGCGCCCCCTTCTGGGAATCTTCTGATTCACTGGAGAGGCTCATGGAATCTCTCGGGTCACTGTCATTCTGCCCTCCGCTGCCCTCAGATTCTTCCCCTTCGCTCTCCATTTCCTCTCTCCCCTGCGCCTCTGCTCCTGAGCCCCTGACACATGCCAACACCATCCTGCTTTTAATATTGTTTATGCACGCAAAAAGTTTGGGGTGGTTGCATTGCTTTGTTTCCAATCAGTACAAAGCCCATAGCTTTCTGCTGAAATCCCATAACTTCCTACACCACAAATGTTCCAAGTTATTTTTGTCCTGCTTTTCTTGTGCTATGTGACTCCTCTGGAAAGCAGTAACATGGTCGCATTGAGGAAGCATCACATATCAACTAATAATGCAGAATTCACCACTAATACACTGTTATTGGAGAAGTTGCTCAATCCAGGGCTTTTGTGTGGTGGTAAATAACTCGGTTTTGGGATCTAATATTTAATTGCCTCTCCCAAATCACTAATCAGACTGTTCTCAAATCTCCTTCTTTAGCCTTACTCTCACTTTTCACTGGTCCCAAATTGCTCCATAAAGACCTCATTATTCTTTTATTAGCAGCTGTCAGAATGGCAGTGGTGGGAGGATGGAAAACGTCCTCGGAATTTTTGCAACTGGTATGATTGCATTTGAAGATCAGCCTCCTTAGAAAATCCAACCCACAATTTCAAAATTGGCTAAGGGTCTGGCTAAACCTGAAGCATTTACAAATGTATGGTTCCTATTTATCAGTTCCTTGTCTGTAGGTCCCCAAACCACCAGCCTTACATACCGATTTCTGGAGAGATTCAACAAACTAGTAATGTGATTCCATCTTTCTTTGCGTTCCTTGTTTCTGTCTTCCCTGTGTATGCATGTATCAGTTTATGGAACATATTGCAAGAGACCTGTATTTATTTGGTTGTTACTGTTGCTCTTTATTGTACCATAGGTGCTTGGGAGCCCCGGGTGGGTTATGAGGACATCCCAGGTGGGTCAAGGCAAAGCTGCTGCTGTCATGTTGGACTTCACCTAAGACTGACCAAACTAAAGGTTGTTTTTTTACCTGTTGCTATCAGTGCAGCAATAGCAATGTTCACCTCCCTGTATGCTAGACAGCCATTCACAGGGGCAAAATAACACAAGAGTGCATTTGCAGTTCCTGAATAAAATGGGCATTGTTTAGACCAGAGTTGGAGAACCTAAGGCCCTGTAAAAATTGCTGGATTACAACTCCCATCAATCCTAAGATCATTGACCAAATTCCAGAGGGCCTGTGAGTCTGTTAATAGCAAAAACTTTAAAACCCCAGCAGTGTCTTGCAGCACCTCAAAGACTCATAATTGTGTTTATGTATGGCATAAGTTTTAATGAGACGGAGCTGACCAAGCAGTCTCTGGGCCACAAAGAGGCATGCAGCAAGACATTTGTCGTTGCTCCAGGAGTCTATTTTGATTAGCACAGTGCAAACACTGCAAAAATTAAAATAAAAAAATATATCCTCAAGCATCCAGAGGCAGGAAGGAAAAAAAATACCCAGTCCATTTCACATGGGATAAAGATTATGTACAAATCTGACTGTAGGGTTTGACACAGCACTATGAAACACACACACACACACACACACACACACACACACACAACAGACCCTCATGCCCCCAAAGTCCTCTGCAGAGATGAATTTTCCACTGCAACAGTTTTTTCCAGGGTCCAGCTTTTGAAAAAGGTTGCTGTCAATTTCTGGTCCAATGCTGGAAACCCAGGGAAAGTAGCAAGGCTGAAGGACCAGGGACAGCTCCAGGTGAGCAACTTGTTCCAGCCAAAGGTTGGGAGCAGACTGAGGCAGACAACTTCCTTCAGTCTCCACTTGCTTGAGAGAACTTCCGAGCCCTAAAGGGCCAGCCTCCTCCTCCTCCTTTCCACGGCCTTCCACCTGGTGTGCTCCTGGTGCTGCCAGACTGGTGATGTGCATTGGGAAGCATCTGTTTCTGCTGGCTCAGGGGAAGTTGTCTGTGAGGGTCCAGGCTCTGGCCCCAGAAGCCCTGATAACCTGGGAGGTTCCCCTGAGAGTTCTTGTCCAACTTTGTCAGGTGCAATGGTCTCTATCTGCAGCAGTCAGCTCTGACCCAGACCCAGTTCCCCGTTTGATGCCCCTGTAGCCTCCGATTCTGGGACCCAAGCTTTGATGGATACTGGTCAAACTGCTTTCTAACACTACCTGGAAAGAATGAGCAAATTCATGTTGGTTCAGAAAACAGTCGAGCTACTTCTCAGTGTTTGGGGGAAATAGCTCAGCTCATTTCCAAGCCAATCTGATGTGGTGAGAAATTCTCTCCTGGTATGTGGGACTGTCCCTAGAGCCCCCGATGCAGATTGCAGCAGAAGAGTGGATGGATGGATCTTCACAAGCAGGCATCTGCAATCTATGCTTTGCAGTTCCAAAATGTGCAGTGAATTCATTTGGGGTACCATCCTGGTACTCCTCCCTAGGTGGCAGACGTGGTCATCTGAAAAATCACTAGGTATTGGGAAATGTTGGTTTCTCACGGTTCCTCATTTTTCCAATCTTAATTCAGTTCTCCATTTTGCCACATCCTCATGTAAATTCATCCATGAATTTTTCCTGATATACCTGATATATGCAATTTTGCCCAATATACACATTTTTGAAAAGCAATTTCTCTTAGTGCTATTTTCACCAACAGAAGCATTTTGATGCAC